GAGAGAGAGAGAGAGAGAGAGAGAGAGAGAGAGAGAGAGAGAGAGAAATATCAATGATGAGAGAGAATCATTGATGGGCTGCCTCCCGCACGCCCCCCACTGGGGATTGAGCCCGCCACCCAGGCATGTGCCCTTGACCAGAATCAAACCCAGGACCTTTGAGTCCACAGGCCAATGCTCTATCCACTGAGCCAATCCATCTAGGACAATATATGATATTTAAAAAGCAGACCAGATATAGTTCAGTGATGGACAGAATAGATGATTACCTTACCCAGAAGCGTTCAATATCCTCTCTTCACTTGACTTTTTTTCTACTTTAGAAATTCAGAAGCAAAAATCTGTTTCCTCAGGGTCCTTGGCAGCTGGAAATGTCCATGTAACTGAGTTTGGTCAGGCAGGTCCAACAGGAGCCCCCTGGGTGGGACTTTCTTCCTGCTAAAACCTGGCAGGCTCAGCTTGTCCTTTCACCCCTTCCACTTATTTCCTTCTGAGACAGAAACCTCGAAGCCTGAAATTGCTGCAGCTCTTTGTTAGCCAGGAGGGTACACGCGGAAGACGAAGGCTACGGAGCATGGCATTGGCTCTGTCACAGAGTTCTATTTTTTTTCTCTGTTAATCAAGAGAACACTTGACCTTCTAAACTTAGAATTATCCTATGAGTTAATGCACATGGTATATCTTCATAAATTATAAGGGATTATATGAATGTAAGGTACTGTTTATTTAATACACAGGGTGGTTGATACACAGGACCCACAGTGACTCCACAGTTACATATAACAGAGACTAGGAGTCTGCTTTCTGTTCAAAGAAGAATCTGCGGACACTTTGACTGGCTTAATTTAAACCTGTTTGTGAATTCTACTCTGAAGTTAGGAGCAGCCACGGTCTGAAAAGCTTGTATATTCCAAAATCCATTTGCCTGTTGTGGGTTGGCCAAACGGAGATGGCAGGCTCTTGGTGAGGTTTGCTGGGGAAGTTAGCCAGTTTCCTGCCTTACCTTGGATAATCAGCATTCTGGGCTTGGGTGATCCTACCCAATTCTGGAAGATGCTGTGGGATGTGTGGGTAGAAAAATATCTGATAAAGAGCTTAAAGGCCTCTCATGCTTCCCAAGAAAGAGGTTAAATTGGCCTCCTATGAACCCTGTGGATGCAGAAGTCAGGATTACTGTATGAACATCCATTTGCCCCACTCCATGAAAAGGATATAGTACAATGCTTCTATATCCAATATATATATACTCCACCTTTGCCTGAAGAACATATTCCATCTTTTAACATTCAGCTGAGTGTCTCTTCCTTTCTGAAGTTTTTCCTGACCTCACAACCAGGAATTCTAAAGCACATATAGCATTTTCCTTTAGTCTGTTCTTACCTGTCTGCCCTTGGCCATTAGACTGTGAGCTCCTGGAAGACAGGGGCATCGTGTTATTTGCCAACTCTGTATGGCCAGCGTAGTGTCCATCCTATAGTAAGCAAACCACAAGTTTGTTGAAGAATTAAATGCATTGATAAATGAATGTAAAATGAGTAAACAATAGTTAACTCTCAACTACTGGCTATTAGTTTAGCAACCCCCCTGCTGTGTAAGGTATAAGAATCTCAAATATCCCATGGCTTATCTGTGTAGGGATTGTCAACTCTAAGGAGACAGAAAACAGTGTTCAGAAATATTGACATCATCCTGATTTAGCCAGGAAGATTATCTAACAATTGCAGTTACCCAATTCAATGGGCCATGCCATTAGCACAGACCATTTAGAGTGGACAGCTGACACCAATTAATACTGTTAAAGAGGGGTGAGGATTGTACTTTTCAAAAAGATTGTAGATATTAAATTGGTTGTGATTTAAAAAATGTTTCTTTCTTTGTCTAATGATGTGAGGGTAATCTTTTATGAAAGACTTGTTGAGGCACACGGCAAGTTTTCAAAGGATTTGAAGACAAATGAATAGCAAAATTTCCATTCCATCTTGCAAGACTAGAAATGAGAAAAAGGAGATTAAACATGGCTTCTACCCTTGAAGATCAGCTCAAACATCACCTTTTCTATGTAGGTTTTCTTGACCTGTTTCCAGTACCACCATTAACATATTAATTAGTCTCAGTTGGGTTCCCTTAGTACAATGTTCATGTTTCCTTTTTAACAACTATTTTGAGATATAAATCACATACCATACAATTTACTGAGTTAAAGTTTATAATTCAATGGTTTTTAGTATATTCACAGATATGTGCAAAGATTACCAACTATCAACTGTAAAACATTTCTACCATTTCCTTATCCCTCACTCCTCCCCTACCCTAAGTAACCACTAATCAAGTTTCTGTATCTATACATTACCCTATTGTGGACTTTCATACAACTGGAATAATATAATATGTGGTCTTTTGTGATTGGCTTCTTTCACTTTTTAAAGCTCATCCATTTGTAGCAGGAATCAGTATTTTCATTCCTTTTTAAGGACCAATAATACTCCATTGTGTAGATCTACCATATATTATTTAACCATTCATCCATTGATGAACATTTGGTTCCCATCTTTTTCCACCTTTCGCCTATTATAGATAATGTTGCTATAAACATTTGTGTTTTAATTTCTCTGGGGTGTGTACCCAGGAATAGAATTGCCAATAATTCTATGTTTAATCATTTTAGAATCTGCTAGATTGTTTTCCAAAGCAGTGTCACTAATTTACATTCTCATCAGCAGTGTGTGAGGATTTAATTTCTCCACATATTTGTTATCTGACTTTTTCATTCTAGTGTTTGTGAAGTGGTATCTTGTTGTGGTTTTGACTTATATTTCCTGATGACAATTTTTCAAGTGCTTATTGTTTATTTGCATATCTTCCTTGGAGAAATATCTATTCATATTCTTTGGCCATTTTTTAAAATGGGTTATTTGTCTTTTTTATTGAGTTGTAATTGTCTTTTAACACTCTAGAACAGTGGTCGGCAAACCGTGGCTCGCGAGCCACATGCGGCTCTTTGGCCCCTTGAGTGTGGCTCTTCCACAAAATACCACGTGCGGGCGCACGTACAGTGCAATTGAAACTTCGTGGCCCATGCGCAGAAGTCGGTTTTCGGCCTGGGTGAGTCTATTTTGAAGAAGTGGCGTTAGAAGAAGTGGGGTACGTTCGCTGAGGTCGACCCCTCAGATTGAGGACGTTTTTAGCAAAGGCCAGTTTAGGAGTACCCTAATTAAGTTAATAACAATGTACCTACCTATATAGTTTAAGTTTAAAAAATTTGGCTCTCAAAAGAAATTTCAGTCGTTGTACTGTTGACATTTGGCTCTGTTGACTAATGAGTTTGTCGACCACTACTCTAGAACAAGTACCTTAGATATGATTTGCAAATATTTTCTAGCATTCTGTGGATTGTTCTTTCATTTTCTTGATGGTATTCTTTGAAGCACAAAAGTTTAAATGTTGATGATCTTCTATTGATCTGTTGTTTTCTATTGTTGCTCCTACTTTTGGTATCATATGCCCAATCTGAGGTCAT